TTTTGTTCCATTTTGTAGTTTTGTCGTTATGTATTAATTATTGAACACTTTTGTGAATAGATGTTTGTTTGTATAAGAGTATTGCCTTATAAACTATAATAAATTGAAATTAAACCATATATGAAATCACATTTTGTATTCTTGTATTGATTTATAAACCTATAATAAATTGAAAAAAAATTGGATATAAATCTACAATAAAACAAATTGTTTTATAAACATATAATATGCTAAAAATAAACTGCATCTATTTTGTAGGATTTATATTTGGTATTTTAACATTTGTAATAGTGTTTTAACATTACAAAAGAAAAATTGTGAACTATTAATAACAGTGTTTTAACAACACAAAAGAATATACTTTTTATTTTGTTTATTCAACTCTTTCTACAACATATTTCTATCTTGAAATGAATGACCGGCGACAATATCATAGTTAAAGTGTTCATACATTCTATCCATTGGTAGAGGAAATTCACTTGTGCCATTTATAGGCAGTCTATTTTCATGTATATGTTCTATTCTCCATCAGGTCATGTATAGAACTCTAACAAAAAATTGATAGTTTTACCTTATATTTTCCTAGTAAGAATTTGATTTGTACTGTTAGATCAAATGTTCCTGGTCGATTACGTTCAAGATTTTTTAATTCCAGTTACATGGATAAATTTTTTTGTTCATATATCAAACATAAACAACTATTAAATAGCAAATAAACATTGATTTGGGAAAGATTTAAATTTTTTCTGTACCTCATCAAATCGAATCCAGGACCCGAATTAAGACCCAAAATTGCGGACATGGCCATTGCCTTCTTCTTCACATCTGCAAGATCAAAACAAAGCTTCTCGACCTGGCGGGCCATCGCCACCATGTGATTCGCCATAGCTCGGTCTATTTGAAATAGAGATGAGCATGAAAATTTCAAAAGAACCATATATGAATCTCATCGCCAGAGATTCTTTGAGCTTCTATGCGAATTCAATTTAGGGCAAAATATTTCTTGAAGTTCAAATTAACATCAAATAAAATGACCTTTTTGTTCTCAATTTTGGTACGTGTGTCTGCCACGCTCGCTTTTCCGGTAGAAATTACACTGCCAATGAGCGGATGTTGCGATATAGACAATTTGTATATTAATGGTTGTAATATAATATAAAAAAAAAATTGTTTCGGTTACAAATCTCAAATACGCGAATAATACAGGTTGCAAATTATTAATTACCCGTATAAAAACATTTATGATATTACAGATTGCTTGAATATATTTGTTCAATAAAATATGCTATTCTTCCCAAATGAAGAAAAAAATAATTTTGGAGGAATCAAACTTCGTATTTCTTGAACTATAGATAGGAATAAAATCGTCGAGCTACATCTCTTTATTGTTCAAACCCCATTTATATGTATATATATAAAACACACATATCCAAAAAGAAAAATGTGAAATGAATAAAATTGTCCGTATATTATTAAGATTTTCTTTTGGCAAGTGACAACAGATGTTTTTTTATTTTGTCGTTGAACTTTAAATATTTATCCAAATATTCGTTTCTATACATTCGTACTGGTAAAGATATAAAAATATGTATATACATACACACACACATATATATATATAAGCATAGTTTTAAAATAAAAATTATTTTGTGCCATGGATGACGCAGAGCGGTGCCAATTACATAGTGAACGGCAATGGGGTGGATGGTATATAATTGTCGGGATGCCCCAAAACATTAGGAGCATAAAAAATAAGGATTCAAAACACATATATCTTGAAAGATGTTGCAATATTTTTTTAATTATCAATACCTTCTTTATAATCATATCACTTTGTAATATGTATATGTCAAACTAACTCAGTATATTATAGAAACAATATTCACGATAGTATAGGTTGCTTGGAAAAAATATTCAATAAAATACAATATTTTTTTTTTTTCAAAAAGACTTCCTTCAAATTCAAATAAATAAATAAATGGATAAAAGCTATTTTTGTAGATGCCAGAATCGAACTAGTAATTCTTTAAGGATAACTAGTACGTAGCCCGTGCGATGCACGAGACAGAAGTATTAAATGAATTATTTCCACAGAGCTTGTCTGTTAAGTAGTTCGTGCGATTCACGCGAGACATTAAATGAGTCGACCATAGGGCTTGTCCGTTCAGATCTAAACAATGATAGAGTTTGATCATCTATTTTTTTTACCTTTTTTCATCAACTTCATTTTTTTTCTGGACATTAAACCTGAGTCTGGTAGCGCTAGCCCTTAAATTAATTAATATATTATCTAGCTCACATGTTTATAATAATATAAATTTGATTTCATTATCTATATTTATTCATTGATATAAGAAAAATAACAATGTTAAGTAATCTTGTTCTTCGTATAATACTCACATTATTTTATTATAAAATTTATTGTAATATAATGTCATTATTATTATTTATACAGGTTATAGATGTTGTCTTCTTCTTCTTTTTGTTTTATGTAATTAAAATATTTAATATATGTTAATATTATTTATTAATGTAATTAATTTAAATTATATAAATAAATTTAAAGTAAAATATTTTGTACAAACATTTTACAAAATGTAAACATCTTTGAAATTCTATGCATTTATTAAATTATCCTTGATATAAATTCGAAATCATACATGAATTCTATGCAATTAATAATTCCTTCCGATTTTATAGGAAACAAATCATCTGGAAATGTAACAAAATGATAAGGAATTTTAAGATTTAAATTTTAAATGAGACATGTTTTTACTCGAATTCTATGCAATTATTACTTTGTCCGAATTTATGGCAGACAATTCATTCAGGATTTTAATGTAACAAAATGATAATAAATTTTAATATTTAAGTTCAAATTTGAAACGAGACATGTTTTTATTTGAAGTCTATTTGTCCGATTTTATGGCAAAACACATCAATTATGGATGGAATTAATGCATATCGATTTGTTAGCTATAAAATAATAATACAATTGAAAAAATGATAAAAATATAATGCATTAATTATCCTTTGACTTTTCTTGTTACTAAATTTGGTAAAT